CTCTCTCCTCTGCTCCATCAGCGCAACTCCTTTCTTAACAGCGCACCCGTTCCTTCGCTGACATGAACATTTCCAACTGCCATCCGCGGTGGACTTTTCTAACGCCTTCTAGTCCTAGGAACCTTACCCTGCGGATTTTCACGTAACTTAATATCATTGCCAATCATGGCCTTTTTACAGTGAGGAATATACGCGGCCCACAGGGTAATCGGGGTGAGCTTCAGATGTTACTCTCCCCAGTTTGCCCTGTTGGTGTTTGCTTACAGGAACCAAAATTACACTCTGCTGTTTTTCTGCACATCTCATGAGCTATAATTTATTGTATCTTCATAACCTTTTCAGATGGGACCTTTAATGAAAGTGCCCTTTCTTCTCCGCACTGATATTCCGTACTCAACTATTTATTCATACTTCGCTGCATACACAGCACCCGTATCCACTTACATAGGTGGTATACGCTCTTTTCTTTATATCTCTCTCCTTCTCGGGCAATATCTAATCCGGATATGCCTTCCTTGTTTCGTCATTACCGCCAACCGAATCTGTTACATGGTGAGTTTAATGCCCACCATTTCCTCTGGGAGGGTCTCACTGTGCTACCGTGGAATTCAGTTAAGGCTTTTCTGCCACCTCACCCCCCCATGTCTTTAAATACAGGTACTCACACCCATATTGATCCTCAGGACTCATACTCTCACTTGCAATCGATCTCTCGTTTGCCACTTTCCTCCGCCGCATAGACTTTACTTGGTCTGTTCTCCTCTCACCGGACTTACAATTGACAGTGATCATTTCCCTTCCCAAATCATTCTATCTTCCCCTTCATATTCTCCACCCTCCTTCGCACCCCACGCTGGCAAATTAATCGGCAAATAGGAACCTTTAATCACACCGACTGTTTTTAAAGAGGGTTCCTTTCTTCGTCCTCCATCGATGAGCTTTTACCACCTCCTTTCCTCGTCCTCCTTTTTTGTTTTTTGTTTCACACCGACAGCTTCTTCTCATTCTATACCCCAAACTTCGGGCAGGCATTCTCAGAAATGCGTGCCTTGGTGTCTCTCTGCTTGTGCTCGTGCAGTACTTGAAACGCGCTGCATGGGGCAGGGTACCGGTACAATAGAACCACAGAAGCGACTCCTTGATTTTAAACAGAACGTGGCGATTCGCTCGCCTGTCATCCGTGACGCCTAAACGCACAAGGGGTAATTGTCTGGCGACTTATGTCCCACCAACACCGTCTGCTCCTCTATTGATGCAGTCTGGAAAAAAGTACGAAAACTGAGTAGTAAAATATTCTCCCTGACCCGGCTCCTGTTTCTGCGAGTTGCCGGTGTCGATATAGCAAACCCACTAGAATGTTGCCAATGAAATTTGGCAATCATCAGGTCCGTATTCATCAGGACTCCATCTATGGCCCCTTCATTTCTTTCGCTTCTTTCTTTCCTATTCCTACAAGTTCTGCCAGAGAGTTAGCACCCTTGTACTTTCTTCACTCAGAGAAGAACAGTATAATGTGCCTTTTACACTTCAAGAACTGAGGCAACACTCTCAGCTTGTCGATCATCGCAGACAGGGCCCGACGACATTCATATTCGTATGCTTACAACATTTACATCAGTCAGAGCCCTTGCAGTCCTATTACGCCTTACAATCTATTTGGTACAAGGAGTTCTTCCACAGCTGTGGAAATCCCATTGTTCTCGTCGTAACCTTACAGCAAACGGCATGCACTACGACATGAAACCTCCCCTCTATCGTCCCCTTGCTCCTTACCAGTGGCAGTTTGCAAAGTAAAGGAACGTCTAGTAATAGACGTTTAGTGTGGTATTTAGAGACACAAACAGTCACTTCTCTCCACTCGTCAATATGGCTTTCGTAAGGGACGTTCTACCAAAGAGACCCTTACTGCGCTTGGATCGTATGTTCGTAATGCCTTTGCGAATAACCACTCAGTTATTGCCATAATTTTTTGACCTTGAGAAGGCATATGACACAACAAATGGGGTATAATAATTTAGCACAAGTCCACTCCTTAGCTCGAGCAATCTACCATCCTTCCTTAAGAACTTTTTAACTGACAGCCATTCCGTGTTCGGGTTAATAATGTGCTCTCCCCGGACTTTGTCCACGCTGAAGGTGTCCCCCAGGGATTGTGTTCTGAGCACAACACTTTTCTTCCTTGCTATTAAATGATATGGCCTCTAGTTTCCATCAAATATTGGTCCATCACTCTATGTTGCTGTTCTTCGCTATTGCCTGTGCAGGCGCTGACTGTCCACCTCCTTACAGTTTCTCTCCAGCATGCAGTCCGACCGTGTTTCCAATGGGCCACCACACATGGGTTAAATTTCCAGCAACTAAAACCCACCAAATCACTTTTCCACTAACGCTCTGTCATCTCTGATCATACCTTTGTACCTCATGGCTCACGATATCCCTGAACGTGATACAGTCAAGTTTCTGGGCCTCCTCTTTGATCGTAGGTTACCTGAAACCTCACATACCTCTAAGAAGGCAACTTGTTTTCCACCCCCCCCCCACAAGCCCGGCTGAACCTTCTTAAAACCCTTGCTCATCTTTACCGTGGGGAAGCTGATCGTCGAACCCTCCCTTCACCTACATTCCACCCTTATTTTATCAAACTTGATTAAGGTGACCAGATCTTATTCAGCTGCATCCTCCTGCTACTGGCCTACTCTCTCTAGCCCTTAACACCCCCCATTCCATCACCAATGATTACGTTTATGCCATTTTTGAGCTTTTTCGCTCTTTCCCCTGTCGAAATGCCTTCATGCAGATGCGAACGTTCCATCCTTATCCGATCGCCGAGATGCCCATTGCCTGCCACTATTGTACGCTCTCATGAATCTCTCGCAATCCTTTACCATTTATAAATGGTCACTGATATTAGTAGACATACTTTATTTGTTCCACGCCCCTCTTACTCCGTCCTTCTCTCTTCGCCTTCATTGCGCTCTTGTCCCTTCTCTTCAACTACCACCATCTATGTACATGTATGCATCTCACTTTTCCCACCCCCCTGGGAGTTCCAGCTGTTCGAGTTCCTGTTCTTTCTCCCTCCCTTGCTCGAAAGCCCAACTGTCCTACGGTCCCGCTCCCGCTCTCTTTTTCTTACCACATCCCACTCTCATTCTCATGCCATTGCTGTGTACCACAGATGGCCTAAGTCCTTTCTACGGCGTAGGATTCGCAGGCAGTGTTTCCGGACAGCGTCGTACAAGGCATTTTACAATCTTCAGCAAGTATTTTTATAACTGCTGAATTAATGCCATCTTACAGCACTTTTCCGTATTGCATCTATGCCTGTGTCAATCATTTGTGGTTGTCTCGAGACTCCCTTAGTGCTTTACAGGCTATACAAAAATTGAATACACCTCACCCCTTAGACCTCCTATCCAAACTTTGGCAACCGCCGCTCTTTTACTAAGCAAAAAGAAAATTAAAATTGTTTTTTGTTGGGTCCCCTGTCATTGACGTACAGGGCAATGAACAGGCAGCACTGCTGCGCGGTCAGCAGTACATGACCTAACCAGTTTCTTATAGAAGGTATTCCATTACGGACTATTTTGCTGTAATATCTTCCCACCTTCACACGAACCGTTGGCAACAACGTTGGTCTACTATGCTCGGCAACAAACTTCAGTCTATAAACCGAGTATAGGTTACAGGGCCCTCATCTTATCACCAGTGTCCGAGGTTTGGGAGACTACTCTGTCCCCGTCTACGCATTGGCCCATACTCGTCTTACTCATGGATATCTCATGTGAGAGGCTTCTTGCTTGCCCTCTCTGTGAGAATTGCCAAGCTCCATTATCAGTCAGCCACAATTCTGTTGGACTGCCCCACTTTATCACGAGCACGCAGAATTTTATCCTCTGTCGTCGGGTCTTCTTCCCCCGATGCTCTCTCTTTACCTTCCCTTCTCTCTGATGACGCCACCTTCATCGGACTCTCTCATTGACTTTTTTACAACGACTGACTTACTTCACAAAATTCTGATACTTTCCAGCCTTTCTACTTGTATCTTCTTGCTACCCTCCTACCCCCGTACTATCCCCTGCCCCCCCGCTGTTTAATACTGTAACCTGCTTGATCATCACCCCTCCCTTCTGCATCCAAGTTCCCTTGCTTTTCCTTCCAACCCGCAGCGCTGTATATTATTATTATTATTATTATTAAAATCAAGGGGAAGCAGTCTAAACCCCCGGAGGATTATAACAGCGCCTGCACCGCTGTATAGCCCTTGTGGCTTAGCGCTTCTTTTTGATTATAATAATAATAATCCTAAATCAAGAGCCCCTCACCAACATCAAGGAACCTTCCTTGAGGGGTGGGTAGTTAAAACATTTCATAAATCAGGTCAATGAAATGAAGCCACTGGTTAAGACAGTTTACTTTGCACACGGTGGTAGCTTTACCATATTTGTTGGCAAGTCTTGCCATTCAAAATAGTCAAAATGGCTTTGGATGCCTTTAAAAAACTTAACATTGATGCTGCATGGTTTATTTTTTGCTATCCCCACTTGTCTAAATTATCATTCCTTATGTGTTTGTGAAAGTTTTATTTCATAAAAAATCTCTTATAATTTTAGTAAAGGTAGGATAAATGCCCTTTTTGCTTCACTTTTGTTTTCCTTAGTTACTCCCTTCGAGAGAAATGCCTTATACTGAAGGGCTCTTGATCCAGTGAACAGGAGCTAACTTACCTTTCCTTGAAATTGAACATGATTCCCTCCTAGGTACATTATTAAAGTTGTGAACATCTAAACCTCTAGGGATTACACAGTGCCAGAGAGAACAGGAGGCAATTAGTTTTGATCCAAGGAAAGGGTAGCTCCATTTCTCGAGATTTAGAGTCATTCACTGGTATTAGGGAACCTTCCCTGGAAGGTTTAGAACATCCATAATAATTTTTTAAGTTCATATTTTAGAAAGATTGAAAATTATAAATGTTGAGTAAATTTTTCTGTAATCTTCAGGAGAAGCTGCTGTTTTGGAGTTCACCCCAAACAAATCCTGGCCTGATGTAGTATACTACAATAGCTGGACAGCTCCGAACATGGGCTGGCGTCTCCACATTCTGGAAGAAATACACACAGAACAAATTTTGGCTGCAGTCAGTGGTAGTCAGGGATTAAGATTTATTGTCTGGCATAAATTTTCCTTTATTTTATGTTTAGGTGTATGGACAGTATTGATCCTAATATAACTTTATTGAAAATTAGAATGCTATTACTACCAGGTTGCAACAGTAAATGATCAATGCAGGTTGTGTTTTTGTCATGAATATAATTATTGTTGGGTACACTGTAATTTATAGCTTTTACTTTGAATCTTAGTGAACTTTGTTAAATGTCAGTTAGCCTTTTTGTGTAAAATAAGTTTATATTTTCTCATTTATTCATCAGTCAATTTTATATATATTTAGAAATGTGTGTATATATATCTAGCTAGTTTTCTGTTCCAGCGACTCAGCGCTGCAGTTCAGAGGGGTACTGCTGTATCCTAGGTATATGCCCTAGCTCTGAGGAGCTTGATGAGATTTTTGCATTGTAATTTGTGATAAACGCGTAGCAGTATGTACTTGAAATGTATCCCTCAAACCTCATGTACTGTATAGGCCATCTTTGTACCAGCAATGTATCTTTTGAAGTCTTGTGTACCATATTATGTAATAAAATATACCTATTGGTCTATATATTTTTTTTCCAATACTCTGGCCGTCTCCCACCGAGGCATGGTTACCCAAAAAAGAAACACTTTCACCATCATTCACATATAATCACTGTCTTTGCAGAGGTGCACAGATACAACAGTTCAGGTGTCACTCCAAACAATGCCTGCATTTTAATGGAGGGGTTTAGAATAGCCTAAACCCCTCCATTAAAATGCAGGCATTGTATTTCCCACCTCCAGGACTCAAGTCTGGCTAACTGGTTTCCCTGAATCCCTTCACAAAATATTACCCTGCTCACAATCCAATAGCTTGTAAAGTCCCAAAAACTACTCGTCTCCATTCACTCCTATCTAACACACACTCAGATGCTTGCTGTATGTCTAAGCCCCTTACACACACACACACACAATCTCTTTATATATACAGTAGGGCCCCACTTTACGGAATTCTGCTAATACGGTCATTTCAAATTACGACCCAGACTCTCTATACGGCTTCCCCCACCCGACTTTCTAATACGGTCACCGCGCCCCACCCAGTTTGTTTACATTCTCTGTGAGTTCCGTAAGCACCGGGTGTCTCCATTATGTCTGGAAACTCCAAAATTTCAAGTGTTTTTAAAAGTTATTTCATACTTTATATATACAGGTACCATCCGACTTACGACCGAGCTTGGTTCCGACCAACCGGTCGTAGGTCGAAATGGACTTAAGTCAAACCTTACTACTGAATATCAACATCACATTTTTGTAATGACTTTATTTTATGGTTTTATTTTGGTATTTCATTTTTTACTTTACTTTTTATACTGTTAGTACTGTATATTATACTGTAAGGTTTAGGATAAACACTGTGTACAAGACAAACAGTTGTTCATTTCCCAGAAATTTGGCATATAAAACACGGTCGTAAGTCGAGTGGTTGTATGTCGAGCAGGTTTAAGTCGATGGTAAGATTGTACTCTAATAATTATACATTAAGTATACTGCAACACTAAAAAAACGTACACACTGTGCTGGCGTGCAGGTACACATTAAAATCAGTAAGTGTGGTCTTATGGTCTTGAGACGCCATATTTATTAATGAAATAATTAAGACTCAATCACCGAGTCTCATTAATGTTGTATTTTTACTTTTAATATACATATTTTCTAATTCGTCAATGACATTTTTTCAAAAATATATAATAAACACAATACATAACATATTAAGATATAAATACACCCACAGTAGAATAAATAAACAAATATGAGATGATGTAGCCAGAACGACTTGTACGAGTGACACCATAAGAATAATACAGTGTACCCCCGCATAACGATACCTCCAAATGTGACCAATAATGTAAGTGTGTTTGTATGTGTATGTTTGGGGGTCTGAAATGGACTAATCTACTTCAACAATTTTCTTATGGTAACAAATCGGTTAGTAACGGCACCCTGAACATACTTTGCTGGAGTGAAAAAAATATCGTTAACCGGGGGTCCACTGTAATAAATAATAATCACCGAGCTCATTAAATGCTCATGTAAAACGTTAATAACACATTCCCATTAATCCATCAATAATATTTTCTCAAAATTATATAATAAACACGATACGTAACATATAAATATGAAAATACACCCCACAGGTAGACTAAACATAAATATGAGATGTGGAGCCAGACACTTACGAGTGACGGCAAGAATAACATTTTCTCTAGTCCAAGATAAAGAAAAGTGTTACTGGGTGTAACTGTAGAAAATTATTCCTTTCATAGCCTTCACTCATGTCATTTTTCTTCTAAAAATGGTGTTTACATGAGAATGGGAGTGTTCCTCTTTATTTAATCTACCATATCAACGTAGAGAGCACTTGTACACAATGTAAACTTGTACACAAACCAACGTGTTCGCCTGGTTTGTTTACTAAACTCACATTTTCCTGGTGTTTGTTTACATAACTCCATAGTGTCCTCCTCTCATGTAACTCATCTGTCTCTCTCTCCATTTACGTATTCGTTTTTATCTCGATTACTCACCTCTTACCCTACATTAAGACTACAAATATTTTAAGGTAAGTAATAATGTACTAATGTGTATTTTAAGGAGCAAGGGACTATAACCACTCTCCTGTTAATTACTAAATTTAAAAGGTGAACTTGAGGTATTTCCTTTTGGGCCACCCTGCCTCGGTGGGATACCTGAGAGAGTTCCGGGGGTCAACGCCCCCGCGGCCCGGTCTGTGATCATGCCTCCTGGTGGATCAGAGCCTGATCAACCAGGCTGTTATTTGCTGGCCTGCAGCACGCAAACCTACTACGAGCCACAGCCGGCAGGTCAGGAAACCGACTTTAGGTGCTTGTCCAGTGCCAGCTTGAAGACTGCCAGGGGTCTGTTGTAAATTCCCCTTATGTGTGCTGGAGGCAGTTTTACAGTCTCGGGCCCCTGACACTTAATTGTAAAGGTCTCTTAACGTTCTAGTGACACCCCTGCTTTTCATTGGGGGGATGGTGCACATCGTCTCCAAGTCTTTTTGCTTTCGTATAGAGAGTGATTTTCGTGTGCAAGTCGGTAAACTAGTCCCTCTAGGATTTTCCCAGGTGTATATAATCTGTATCTCTCCCCGCCCTGCGTTCCAGGGAATACAGGTTTAGGAACCTCGAGCGCTCCCAATAATTGAGGTGTTTTATCTCCGTTTATGCGCGCCGTGAAAGTTCTCTGTACATTTTCTAGGTCGGCAATTTCACCTGCCTTTGAAGGTGCAGATTTGTTGAAAGAAGATGATTGTGTATTTTACTTTTTTATTGTTTCTACGCCTAGTTCTATTGCTAACTTAACATATGTTAGTGTATCTTGCTGTCTATCTAGTAAACCTACCAACCGACATACGACCTGCTCGACATACGACCACTCGACTTACACGACCGTGTTTTTGGTATGCCAAATTTCTGAGAAATAAAAACCTGTTTGTGATGTACACAGTGGTTTATTCCTAAACCTTACAGTATAAAAACACAGTATTAACAGCATAAAAATAATGTAAAAAATGAAATACCAGAATAAACCAATAAAATAAAGTCATCCAAAAATGGTGATGTTGAAATTCAGTAGTTAAGGTCGACTTTTGTCCATTTTGACTTACGACCAGTTTGGTCCGAACCAAGCTAGGTTTGTAAGTCGGATGGTTAGGTGGTATTCTATCATTAAAATAGAAAAAAAAAAGGGTGTTCCACTGTCGGAATTTCCAACAAGTCCCCTCTCTAGGGTTATTCCCTTCTTGTCTTTTAATGCCACTAGAACCAGCACGAGTCATTGGACCCCTGTTGCACAAAATAACTGTCCAGAGTTCTCCGTTTCTGGCGTCTCATTAAGACTTCTCTAAAATGGGCCAAGTTTTGTCACTGAACATGTAGATATGGCTTGTTTCAGCTTGGTCTATTTCTCCACAAAATTTTGCACCTCATTCCACTTTGACAAATGTCCTTAATCACTGAAGAAGGCATATCCTTCCTCTCTCTTCCTCCTCCTCCTTGAAGCAAGTTCCACAGCTGTGGTCTGTTGCTGTTCCAGTTGAAGATGTTGCAGCTCTTCTTCAGTGGTTAGCTCTTCCCTGTGGTCCTCCACCAACTCTTCCACATCCTCGTCACTCACATCCGACCCCATGGACTTCCCCAAAGACACAATAGATTCCGCAACAGGCAGAAGGTCGACAGGGCCAGGGTCAACCTTAAACCTTTCAAAATCCTTCTCGAGGACACAGTCTTGCCACAATTGTCTCCAAGAAGAGTTCAAAGGCGTGGAAGTCACTCCCTGACAATTCTTACCTATGAGGTTTATGCAGTGGAGGATACTGAAGTGATTCTTCCAGAACTCTCTTACGTCAATTCAGTGTCCAAGATCACTTCAAAGCACTTTTTGAAACACTGCTTTTGTGTAGAGTTTTTTGAAGTTAGAAATGACCTGCTGGTCCATGGGCTGGATGAGAGGAGTGGTGTTAGGAGGCAAGAACTTCACTGTTATAAAACTGAAATCCCTAGACAATTGGTCTACCAAGTTTGGAGAATGAGCAGGAGCATTGTCCATTACTAGGAGGCACTTGAGTGGCAATTCCTTGTCAAGAAGTATTTTTTCACACTTGGGCCAAACACTTCATGGACCCAATCAATGAAAATTCGCCTTGTGACCCATGCCTTATTGTTAGCCCTTCACATCACACACAATCTACTCTTGACTACATTGTTTTCCTTGAACACTGGGATTTTCAGAGTGATACATGAGTAAAGGATTCACTTTGAAATCCCCACTAATGTTAGCACAGAACAAAAGAGTTACATTGTCTTTCATAGGCTTGTGTCCTGGCAGTGCCTTTTCCTCTTCCATGATGTAGGTCCTCTTTGGCAATTTCTTCTAAAGCAGGCCTGTTTTGTCACAATTGAACATTTGTTGGGGTTGGAATTCTTCGTGTGTATGTACCCTTTGAATTCCTATTCAAATTTTTCAGGCTCACAGTTGTCAGAACTTGCAGCCTTACAACACTGTGTATGCCACTACGGTTCTTAAATCTCTCAAACCAGCCTCTGCTGGCCTTAAATTCACTATCACTAGTACCAGGCCTTTTCTTTATGAGAGTCTGCATGCAATTGCCTTGCCTTTTCACAATGATCATCTCTGAGACACTATCTCCTGCTGTTTCCTGATCCACAAAAAACAACAACAACAACAACACATTTTCATTAGTTTGTGATCTCTTTTTTGTTAACAGGTTTACCCCTTTCGCCACATCAGCTTCCTTGATTTGTTCTTTCTTTGCCAGGACAGAAGTGATCGTTGATTTTTTTGCCATACATCCTGGCAGTTCCAGCACCCGTACACCACTCATATTTTTCTATTACTTCCTTCTTAAATTCCATCATGTTTCTCACTTTCTTTACCAAAGGAACTTTACTAAGAACTTTTGTGGGGCTCATGGCGACTTATTTTACAGTTTGTACTTAATAAAAACCACGAAAAACAACGGATTTTAAGGAAATGCG